CAACAGGTATTAGCAACTCAGGCAGTTGTGCTATTTAAACAATTGCTACTTTTTTATTCCCCCCCCAACAAACAACCCGGAGCTAGGGCTTTCCTCATTGAGTCTGTTAAATAAAGATAAGCCCTACAACTGGAACTTCCTAGGGAGCTGCCAAACAAATCCAACAGTGACAATTCTCTGAGGATGGGACTCCAACACCAAACCTATTTGGGGAACTTCTAAACTATTTCAGTGGTTGGTTTTCTCAACTGTGGTGGTTCAAGGTTGCTGGTTTTCAAGGCTACCACAGAGCTGGGGAGAGGTAGGATGAGGACAAGTTAAAACACCACAAAGCTTATTATTTTTACAGAGATTCAACCATTTTTATTTAATACATGCTTGTCATGTATCCTAATTAATCCTTTGGTTAATTTCTGGAACTTAAAAAGGTTGATTTTGACAAATTCTGCCAGTGTTCTCCTTGCTTCCATGGAGGATCAGATCTTTAGAGATCCTTACTCCACCATTCTTGAAATGTTTCTCCAGAATTTCTTTTAGTAGAAAGTGGGATACAATGGATTTCTCTTAAATTAATGCAAGCAGCATATACTGAATTCACTTAGAACATCAGACATTCCACCTATGATATATACCACCCAAACAAGAATTTTCTGACTTCTCAAATTTCATAGAATGTCAGCACTAGTTTCCAAAGTCTATGGCACCCACCCTGAGTAAGAACTAAGAATATTGGAGCACCTGAGTACAAGCTCAAATTTGCTTTTCAGCTCCATCTGAGCAAGGAAGTCTAAGGGACAGACTGTCCAGCTGTAACTGAAGACCAGTGTTTTTCACACCTTCAGACCCACAGCAAATTTTTTAAAAAATATATTTTATTGATTTTTTTTACAGAGAGGAAGGGATAAGGATAGAGAGTTAGAAACATCGATGAGAGAGAAACATCAATCAGCTGCCTCCTGCATACCCCCTACTGGGGATTGAGCCCGCAACCAAGGTACATGTCCTTGACCGGAATCGAACCTGGGACCCTTCAGTCCACAGGCCGATGCTCTATCCACTGAGCCAAACCAGTTAGGGCTCACAGCAAATTTTTATTACAAATATTTTTAAATACCCTTTCTATTATTCTAAAAAACATATAGATGGATAGACAATATAACTTATCTCAGGCATTTTTAAAATCAATGTCTAATATAAAGGAGAAATAAAAGGAAGCAACTTATGGAAATATGTAGTTCAATATGAAAGGAAATGGCCACAACTACTGAAGACGCAATAAGGTAGTCAGGTGCCTAATTTATGAGCACGTCATTAGCAGGAGTGTGGCCCTACAAATCGGACAAGGAAGCTGCAGCAGGTCTGACTTGCAATTCAAATGCCATGAGCAATGTTGCCACTTGTGAGTTTTAAAAATGAGGGAGAACTCTTGGTAAGTGCTGAACAGGGTATAACCTCTTCCACTTGATAGTTGCTTTTGATGTCAAATATTGTAAATCTGCAACTAAAAATGTAAAATGGAGTTTTTATATGTACAATGGGACAGATAGTCTAGGCTCAGATAATTGTCAATGCTCACCAGCTAGAGACCATGGGGAACAGACCTGTGGTTGAGCAGTTGGGCTTATTAGAACCTTTTGCACAAGAGAGACCACATCAAGGGTGTCTCATTGAGGGTGCTAAGAAGGGCTTATTATAGGATGTGGGCCTATAGGTAGGCCTCTATGACTTCATGAAGGGCTGGCTCCATGGATCATAGTTGGGTTGGGTGCTTTCAGAAAGCAAAGCAAGCCTGAGTGGTATCCTAATAATTTTCAGCTAGAAAGTAGGAAGAACAGTGGTCTGAAGCTGTCTTTAGTAGAGCAGCAGGCACTCATGTAAGCCAGGGGAGAGGGTGTTAGGTCTTTTTTGAGGTTTGCACAGCACTTCTATGCTCCATCATGATCACAGAGTCCTTATTTTTTCTTGCAACCTCATGGTCAGAATGGCTCTGTCAGATGTTGATGGTGTATACAATTATGTTTAACAGACCACCACAGCCTGGCTGTCAGAGCAGGTCAGCTTCCAGGGGTTGCTTTTTCTTTCCCTTTATAAGCAGGATTTTATGGACATAACTATTCATGAGATATATGGAAGTTATTAGACATACATGACAATTTTTGGTCCTGTCCTCCTCTTGGCCTGGCATCCCTAGGCTCCACCCACTAAAATAACCAATCATTGTGTTAATCAACCCTTCTCTCTCCATACTACAAAACACTCTCCCTTGTGGGTGGCACCAACCCCATGAGAACCACTGCTTTGAATATTCTAAATCCAATCCCCTAATCATATTAGAGTAAGGATATATACTTAAACATTGAGGACCAATAGTTTTATTGCTAGCTTTACCCCATGGCCAGATTAAGTTTCTATTGAACGAGTACAAAAACATTTTACATAAATGTTAAAGGCACGCTTTAAAATTAAATACCCATTGCATTTTGAAGTTATTTATTACATGTCCTTACAAGCTAGTATCTTTTTAAAGAATTTTCGTGATTGACCACAAGCCTTAGAACAGAAAACACGAGAATTCTTGTGATCCATCTGCAATGTGTTAAGAGTACATCAGCCTACACCCTCACTGAACTATCTTGATTTAATGGCTTTGCATAAAAAGTTGCCTTTAAAAGGCCATCTAGATCAAAGGCTATATATCTACTGTAGAAAGGATTCCAAGAGCGTTGGCCACCACAGGGGCTGGGGTCTCCTACAGAAAGCCCCACATGAGAGGTATGTGGAAGGCACTGCTAGATGCCTACCCAATGTCCCTTTTCCCTGCTAACAAAATCTCTTTTATTCAAGGCAGCAATGTGCCTTCCTTAATAACCTGTTTTCCCAGACTTTCTTACTGGGTGACACCATTCTGGCTAATGAGATGTAAGTAGAAGCAAAAGTCTCCTGTGATTTCTTCAGCTGTGACAGTCATGACCCTGAGGCAGTGCGCATAGGGACAAAACCCAGCTTTCTAAGGAACTGTTTAGTCAACACCAGCAATCACCTACTTTCAGACTTCCATTGTTGAAATCCATTATTTGTAGGATTTTGTTACTTGGAGTTGAACAAATTACTAATAGAGGAAATTAATAGTTATAACAGGTCATTGAGGAAATTAAAAAATGGAGGTTTATGCTAAGCCTGTAATATTACAATCAATTGGACACAGAACAGTGCTCAAACTATATATGGGGAGGGGAGGTTGAGTTAAATGCTCATAAATTGGTGGTAGGAAGTCAACAGCTAATTATAAAGTCACTAAGTCAAGAAACAATATAAGCACTAAGCATATTATTTAGAGGTACAGAGGTAAATATCCCAAAACATAAAACCAAGCAGTTGAAAATGTTTGCTCCTGGGGAACAAAATTGAGAATGGGATAAGACTTGCATTTATTTGTTGCCCTTCTGTACTACTTGATTTTCTGACCATGGGTGCTTTCTTTCTTTAATTAGTTGTAGTGGGAAAAAGTTACATGTGAGATTACATTTTCCTTGCCACTAAATTATAACTTCTTCAGGAAATGATAGGCTTCTTCCTTTCTTATTTAGAACAACATAAAGGTTTGAAGGAGTGTTTTCTGATTTTCATAAGAATTTGGTATTCTTCTGATTTTATTTGTAATTAAAAAGTATATTTAACATATGATTTGAGACTATATTCTTCAAAACCAGGAATAGACTGGTTTCACTTTTCCTAGTAGTGGTTTGCAAACAGCGGCTCAGGAGGCTCCTTGGAAATTGGTAGGTAGGGCTGAGAGGGGGACTCCAGAGCCTCCAATTCTGTTTCCACTAGAGCAGCTCTGCTTTATTTATTATAAATATTAAGCTTTGCCACAAGACTTGGAAGAAAGAATTGTACTAGTATGAAAAATCATTGCACTAAAGGCAAAAGTTAGCACAGCTGAACAGGTACCTACTGAATTATTCTATCCCAAATACTATACTAATGCAAACAATTAGGGGGGATGCTGAAACTACAGTTTACTGAAGAATTCAGTTAGACTCTAGCAACAGAAAAGCCAAAACAATAACACTCAAACAAGATAGAAGTTTGTTTCTTATTTAAAAACTGAGGCCCGATGCACAATATTCGTGCAAGAGTAGGCCTTCCTTATCCTGGCTGCTGGCACCAGCTTCCCTCTGGCACCCAGGACCCAGGCTTCCCTCGCAGCTGCATCTTCATTCGGAAGGACTTCTGGTCTAATTAGCATATTACGCTTTTATTATTATAGAAGATTCAATAGGCAGTTCAGGGTTGCCATTCCCATTAGAGGGAGCTCAATACCCGCCTTATTTATCTGCTATTCACAAGCTCCGCCTACGTGGTCCACATTTCAGCTAGCAGGAAAGAGAAAAGGGGAGGGGACAGGCATGCCCCTCTTTTAGGAATACTTCCTGGAAATGTGCATGTGGCCAGAACTCAGTCACATGGCCACATAAGATGCAGCAAGCAAATCTGGAACAAGCTGTCTTTGTTGCCATGTCCCAGCTAATAAGTAAGAAACATGTAGAAGGGAAAATGGATATTAGGAATAAGTGGTAAACTCTGCCACATGCATATCCCAAAAATCAATTCATATTTGGTTTGAGGGACTGCAGGATCAAGTAACAACATAGTTATATCAAAACCTGTATCCATGTGTCCCCTGTCAGACTCTCAACTTTAAAGATTTAGGTCTTTCAAATTAAATAATAACATGTCTGTATGCAGCGCTGACTTTCCTCAACAGATAAGCACAAGTAAAATGGCAAACAGGCACTTCATAAATGAATGACTTAATAACTTAATGTTTCTTAAGAAAGGAAAAGACATTAGAGACAGATATTTCCTCTAAACACAGTACTGTATCTTGATGAGACTTCCTGTAACCTGTTTCCTTGGACAAGTCACTCGGTAACCTGAGGTTCCAGGCATCACACGAAACGGGTATGTCATGAGGATCAAATGAGATTACACATGTCAAGGGCTTTGTAAACATTAGAGTTTTATACAAATATAAAGTTATGCGCTTTCAAAGCTATCACTCCAATAGACACTTATTCAATTAAACAAAACATCTTTAAAAAATTTTAACAATGTATAAATACATTGACAAAATAGTCTGTTGATTAAGACTCCAACAAAGGTTACCTACAGTATACCTATAAGAGAATTTACATGTGTCCGTAACAGTTCCTAGACTGTGACATATATTGCTTTTTAAGAAATACCATTAACACAAATGCATGATTTATAATATCCCCACTAAAGCAAAAAAAAAAAAAAAAAAGATTCATAAAATAAAATGTCTTTTAGGCATTTATTGTGCCAAGTATTTAAATAATTATTCTTATTATGACATAAGAATAATGCTCTCTTCATGGTAAAAGGTTTCGTTAGGCCAAGGACCACTGACGCTCTTTGGGAGGTTCCAAAGCAAAAGCTGGTTGTCCTCTCCAAAAATAAATAGAACACAGCAATCTCTAAGTATCCCTTACACAGACACCATGAAAACTCATTTATATTAACGGACCGAAAATACATGACTTGTTACAATAAAAATAAACAAAATTTTAGAAACTAGCTCATGCCACTGATCCAAATTTGGTTTTTATCTGCCTGTGAATGCCTAGGATAAGAGTTTCATTATGAAGTACATAGTAAACCATAAAATTAACAATTATTTCTAACTTATACATAGCCAAAGTGCTCACTCTTCCCATGGAAGCAAAACTTTCTTCTGAAAATAATCTACAGAAATATTTAAATACACATAATTTTGAAATGACATTAAGAACAACTTTCTACATTCTATGGATCAAAATGCAAAAGTCTTCATTACATATATACATGAACATAAACACTTTTGTCAAACTGCAGTACATGGATATTACATGACTGTGCACACACATACGTACACCATGAACCAAATTTTGACAATGTTTCTAGCAACACCACATTTTCAGCCCCAAATGCTAGCAAGAAAATGAAAACTACTTTTCCTTTTTTCTTAAAGTAAATTTTCAAATGGAAAAACAAACCCAACACTCCTCTCTGCTACATGTACTGAGTTCTAAAAGGCTCAGAGTGAAGAATCTCTTCAGTTGTTCCCAATATAACAGAACACACGGGACTCCTCTCCCTCTTCAGGAAGTCTGATCATCTCCGGTGTTCTGCAAAAGAGTAAGAACTCCTGAATAAAAAAAGCTATTTTACTTAATACAGACTTCAAAGAACTAGAGAAATACTCCGTATTTGTAAGCAGAGCTAGCTACATTAACTTACATTCAATGGCCCCAATCATGTTAAAAATCACAAACATGCTGGAGAAGCAAATCAATGGATCCACCCCAACGTCCAGCAGGTCAGTGTCATTTTAGCAGAGTATCGCCAGGTGCCAGGTAAGTCCACTTAATCCTACCCAACATTCACTTTCATTGTATTCAACATCCATCTCCATTTCAGAAACACTGAAAATCCTAAGGAAAAACACCTCCTAAGCACACACCTGACAATTACCATAGGTGGACCACAGCAAAGATGTTTTGGCACCGTGCCAAAACCCTCAGGAGGAGAATTATGTCTCTCCAAAAATATTAGTTTTTTCTATTTCTCATCTTTTATACAAGAGAAACCATAGCAGAATGAAAAGAACAATGAATTTCAGAGAGGAGAGCTTAATAAACCCTAGTTTTGTACCATTTATAAGCTGTAAAATCTTGAGTAGGGCTTCAGTTATCTAAATACAATCGTTGGACCCACTTGGAACTTGCTAGACATGCAAATTGAGGCCCCACCCAGATCAAATGAATGAGGAACTCTGGAGGTGGGACCCACCACCCATGTTTCAGTCCTCTGGGTGATCCTCATACCTGTTCAAGTTTGAGAATCACTGTCTGATACAATACTACTTGACAACCTACTGCCTGGAAACAAAAACCTAATCATTTTTCCCAAGAAATTTAACAATCTACGATTACCACTTATCCCATTGAAAACCCCGATTTAAATATTCATATTGGGGAATTGTAGTAAAACCATTATGTTCTAAAAAAAAAAATCTCGGTACTTTAAAACAATCTTTAAATATTCAGTCTTATTTTGTTTCTAATCGTTCTTTCTATATAAAACCTAAAACCTTACAATATCATTCTTCAAAATTGTTAGAGCCCCCAGAATTAATGAAAAGTAACTGATTTTTTTTTTAGTAAGCTATTATCAATGACAGTTTCTCTCTCTGGTTTTAAAATAATTTTAGGACATTGATAATACTCTGGGATGTCTTAAAAGCCTCCAAAAATTAAAATAACTATCATCAACTCATACCTAAATAAATATGTGCCTTAAAAAACTTTAAGTATTTCATAAAAATTAAACTCTACAAGAGTTAGAAATTACTGCATTAGTCACTTGACACATCAAATTTAGCCTCATAGCCAGAAAAACTTACTTGTCTTAAAAACTGCTTTCCAAGGTAAGATGTGGCCATGCTGGTTAAATTCTTTCTGCTGCCCACTTTGCACCTGATGTAGCCATATAGGTTGGCACCTTGCAGCACCACACCCATGGTAACCACAGCCTAGGAGAGAAAAATAAGCAATGATTATTGACCAACACCATGAATGAGACCCAACAGTGTCCTGGGGAGAAGGAAAAGGAAGCTCTATGAAGGGGAGCTGTGCCAATAAGACTCCTTCACCTGCCAGAATAGATCTATGCAACATGTACTCTGAAAAAGGCGCCCCATCACCTGCCCAACAAACATTAACACATTAAGTGCCCAGCCTGTTTTGTCTTCTGGACGGAAAGTATAGTGTCAGTCACCGGTGAATAACATGGGGCTTAACGTGTTAAATACACATGCTACAGTGGGCACCATGTCGCCCCTGGGAATGAATCCAGTGGGGAACTGTGGTAGGCAGTTAGACAGACATGAGCAGGGCGAGGATGAGGGGCCAGGTACAGAAGGTCATCAGGGTAGAAAGCCCTAAGTGCCTAGCAAGGGACGATTGTAGGGTGGGACCTCATCCCAGGGTAGCCTTTTCTCCCCTGGCATATCGCTGGTCATGTGGTTTGGACTTCCTGACCCTTCCTCCCTAGAGATAACATCTAGGCCTCAGCTGTATTTCAGCTCCAGGCCCAGAAAAGCAGCAAAACCAGACAATGACCATGGCTGCCACAGAACCAGCTGCCTTGACTAGTGACCCCTGCCCTGGTGTCGACCAACCAATCGGGGAGACCTAGACCCTGAAAGGATTCACCAGGAAAGTTGCTGAATATTCTACTAAGATCTCCCCCGGGCCCTAGCAGGTGGCTCAGTGGGTAGAGCGTCAGCCTGTGGACTGAAGGATCACAGGTTTGATTCTGGTCAAGGGCACATGCCCAGGTTGCGAGCTGGATCCCCAGTCTGGGATGTGCAGGAAGCAGCTTATCAATGATTCTCTCTCATCACTCTCTCTCTCTCTCTCTCTCTCTCTCTCTCTCTCTTTTCCTCTCTGAAATTAAAAATTTAAAAAAGAAAAAAAAAAAGGTTTCCCCTGGGACCCTGACACCCTTAGGACAGAGGACCCAGCATGGGAGCGGCCAGCACCTTTCCCTTTCCCCTGGGTTTTCCCTCCCCCTCCCCCAAGTGCATCACCATTATCTTCCTCACTCCCAAGGCCCTTCCTTTACCTCTATAACTTCTTTCCTAAGCCTACTTTTTCTACAAATTACTTTTTCTACCTTGGTGATTTTATAAATAAATGTTCCCTTATAGTCTGAGTCTTGGCTCAGAATTCTTTCCTGGCCAGAACTCCAGTACTGAGGTTGCTGAACCCAGGTCCAGTTTGACCCCATGGGCCTAACACCCGTGCTGTCCCCAGCCAACTACCACAGGGACCACTCGTCATTTTCCAGAGATGTAAAAAAAGTAAATGAGAATCAGAAGGGGCTCAAATGTTAATTATTCCTTTAAGAATTAATTACAAACAAATGGTCAAGAAATAAAGTGCAACAGAGGGAGCATGCACAGGTGAACCCTGCTCTATGCTGATGTGTGTGTCTCAGGTGGCCTCCAGGACAGCAAACAGTGCCTCAGACAGTAGGTGTTTATCCTCTGTGAGGGAGCAGTGGATGGGCGAGGGTGGAGCTAGGAGGAAATGCACTTTGGTAGAGGTATTTCTTCCTGTGGCCGCATCAGGGTGACCCCATTAAGATCATTAAGGATTAAGAAAAAGAAAGTCAAGCCTACTCTTAAATATTGAGGAAATGAAGTTAATTAGGACAATGTAAAGGGATCACATGGTTGAATATTCCAGAGCGATGGCAAGGTTTTCCTGTGAAGGGCCCAACAATAAACATTTCGGGCTCAGTGGGCCACACGGTCTGCTGCAACACTCCACTCTACCCATCTAGCCCCAAAGCAGCCACGGACTCTATGTAAACGAAGAGGCAAGGCTGTGTGCCAATAAAAATGTACAAACATGGATGTTGGGCTGAATCTGGCCTGCAGACCAGTTTGCCAACCTGTTCTTGAAAAAACAACTCATCAACCCATCTGCTACTGAAAGGATCACTTGAGAAACTCACATCTTTAAAAAGCAAGACAGCTAAACACAACACCTTTTTCCAACCCAGACTTACTCTCCTTAACAAGGTGATTTTTAGCAAGTGAGAGGATTTATATGTTTTAATTAAGGAACAGATTCAAATACTTAGTAAAGGAAGTAGAGTTGTACTTTTATTTTAAATGTATGTTTCATAGAAATAAACTCTTAAGGTTGCTAGTTCTCTAAATGAACATAAAACTATGTTTTGATTTAAATAAATTTCCTTCCACTTCCCATGCTTTCCAAACTGGGACCCTCCGGGGTAAGGATGCACCAACCAGCCAGGGCACCTGAATCAGACTCAGCAGGGTACTTGAGGCATCGTGTCAGCCAATGGCAACATATTGTAAAAGGCATGCATAAAACAAGCAGTCTATACAACGGTGCAGTGAAGCCAGGTATCAAGGTCTCCCTCCCCCTGAGATATAAATAGCAAAGTTGTTTGTTTGTTTGTTTTTTTAAGGCAAATAAGTTAGTACTAATAAGTATAAAAAAGGGCTGGTGTAAGAAAAAGAGCCATCTTGGTGTCTCTCTTTACAGCTCCTAACTCTCCAAAAAAATCTCTAAGAGAAATGTCACTAATGATCACTACCCCTTCACAACTTAGAGAGGCAGAAGGCCAGGGGATACAGATAACCCTAAGAGAAAATGCAGAAACAGGTAAGAGAGCAGAAGCCCCTCTCAATCAACAGAGACGCATCGGAGGCAGGAAAATCCCAGCAGCCTGCCATGGCAATGCTTCCTGGCGGGGGAGGAGGAGAGGAAGCACAGAAGGACCACCAGTCAGCAAGCCAATGACTTCAAGAGAACAGAGGGTGTAGAGAGACTCATGAAGAGCCTGGTGATGCCACTGTCCCCCCCTGTGGTCTTAACATAGGAGCCCAAACCACCATTTTTTACACAACCTTCGCCTGCTCTTTTAGGGAAGTGGAAACACTGCTAAAGAAAGACTAGGCTGACCCTCCCAGATGGATGCTAAGGCTGCACAAATGACCCAAAGCGGACGGATAGAGCCAATAGGAAACAAGAACTCCACTACATAAGAAAGGCAAAACCTGAGCAAGCCAGCCAAGGCAGCCAGAGACCTATGTCCTCCTCCTCTTCCTCCTCCTCCTCACACCTGCCTCAACCAGCCATGTCCAGCTCAGAGCAGAGCCCAAGTGTCTCAGACAGCACAGGGAGGCAATCGAAGGGAATCACCCACACCAATCCAGCATGCGGTCCGCACAGAGCTGCCACTGTAAGGAGCAAATGGAGAGGGAAAAGGGAAAGGCACCTATGCAAGACTACACCAAAAAAATAAAAATAAGGACATAGTATGCAAAAGATAGGTGAGGAATCTATTCAAAAAAATATAGTCCACCAAAATAAAAAGCATTCCTAGGAATGCTTCACCCGACAGAAGAACCTAAATATACGAATTCAAAGTGAATGAAGGTAAGACAACACAATAAAAGGAGGTGAAAATGAAGCTGGCAGAGCTAAGGAAAACAGAGAGAAGCCTCTGCTGACCCCCAATCCAAAGTAACCCACTTCTTTCCATGCACTCTCCACTCTCACTGGTGTCACTGCCTTTCTAATACCACCTGCTCTCTGACTCTCTGACGTGCTGCCAGTCCACAGGTCCACAGCACGCTCCAGCAGAACATAAGTTCTATCAGAGCGATACCTTGTTTATCTGGCCCGAACAATACCCGCAGTGCCTGGAACAGGTCTGGCACACAGCAGGCTCTTAAAATATTTGCTACATGAATAAATAGAAGAGAACTGAAAGATCAAAGCAATTGAAGATGCTAGATGAGAACAGATAAAAACGATACAACAAAGATAACAAATACCTCAGAATCAGAGAAATCAAAATAGAACATAAATTTAAAGACTTAACATAAATTTAAAGACTTAACAGAAGACAATTTTCCTGATTCGAAGGAAAACCTACGCCTACATATACTAGGTGCACAGTTTCCAGAAAAATCAATACAAAAAGATAAACACAAAGACATTCCAGTTATAATATTTTAAAACTTCAAAAATAATTTAATTTTGTCCAAGGAGAAAAATGATTCACTCACTTCCATGGAGATTATGTAAGCCTCAGATTCCTCTGCAAAATTCAATATAAGAAATGTCTTCTAAATGGTGCAAGAAACTGTGACCTGAGGGCATTATCCTAGCCAAATAGGCATCCTATATAATAAAGCGGTAATATGCAAATTGACCACCACACCCTTACACAAGATGGCCACCCCATGTGGCCACAAGATGGGGGGGAGGGGAGGGCAGTTGTGGGTGACCAGGACAGCAGGGGAGGGCAGTTGGGGGAACCAGGCCTACAGGAGAGGGCAGTTGTGGGCAACCAGGCCTGCAGGGGAGGGCTGTTGTGGGGGTGATTGGGCTGGGAGAGGAGGGCAGTTGGAGGCAATTGGGCTGGCAGGGGAGCAGTTAGGCATTGCTCAGGCTGGCAGGGGAGCTGTTAGGGGGTGATTAGGCAGGCAGGCGAGCTGTTGGGAGCCAGCAGTCCCAGATTGTGAGAGGGATGTCCGACTGCCAGATTAGGCCCAATCCGGCAGTCAGACATCCCCAGAGGGGTCCTAGATTGGAAAGGGTGCAGGCTGGACTGAGGGACACCCCCTACCCCAGTGCACGAATTTCATGCACCGGACCTCTATTTCAAGAATAAAGTCAATAGGCTCATATCCTTAAACATGACAGAGCCAAAGGAAAACAACACCTACAACTTGCTTTTTAAATCATCCAACAATGAAATTTAGCCAACCATCCAGGAGGTCGGAGGAAAAACTGCAATAAAAAGACTGAATCAATATATTTTAAAATACTGTAGATCAAAGACAGAACAACTGGTCAGAAATGTCATTCAAAAGGTAATTATTATGAACCTTGACAATAAAAGTAATAGTGGAACAAACAAAACAGGCAATAGAAAAGGGAAGAAACAAAGAAGGGAATTTAGGAGTATTCCATTTCTTTT